ATTAGAGGTCGTAAGAGGTCATTAGAAGGTCAAACACTGGATTTGTTGCTGCTACTGGATTCCCTGGGTTCCTAGCTTTCGTTTGATATGCATTAAGCCATAGTTGAAATATTTTCTATTTGTGGAGGTCATTAGAGGTCATTAGAGGTCATTAAAGTTCAATTTGATTTTACTATAGGAATTTCGAACCCTAATTAGGCGTGCACCCAAAAATTTGGAAGATTTGAACCAAAAATGAAGGCAGGGCCCCCCCCCCTACATCAAATGTGCCAACTCCACCATCCCCTTTTGAATTTGTTTTCAGATTGGGTTGGTCAACAAAACTGAGAAACTTAAGGCATAGTTTGTTTTAGCCGAATCTTAGATCCGCTTCGCTGATTTAATGACTGCATTTCCTGATTGGAGTTAAGATACTAAAAGGTCGGGCTGCCTGTTTACTAAAAATTACCTCACCCCTCCCAAAGTAATATCTATCTCCATTTAAAAGATATTTTCAAAAACTCTTTTCAGTGTTTAGAATTTTGTATTCGCCAACTCGAGTTCAACATCTAGAACAAAACTAATAACATGCAGAGAAAGAACAAAAAATTAGAGCCCACTAGTGAAAATGAAGTATTAAGTTCACTAATTATTTTTAGCGCTTCATTACTAATTGAGGAGCGCGCATGCGCAAATTCATTTCTAGCGCTTCATGTGGCATATTTAAAGATTTATTTTCGAAACTGAGGAGCAATAAAGCTTTAAGAATATTGTACACCATAAGCCATTAACAGAGGTCAATGGGGTCTCATTTTTAAGAAATACACGCTTTAATGTTAACATTTTTATTTCCGATTACAAATTCAGGTGGTGGAGATTACCAATTGAGGAGCGCGCATGACGCAAAACATATTTGAGTGGCAGAGATTACTAATTGAGGACTTCTGCACTCCCCCCCCCCTCCATCAGGCACGGCTTTATAGGATACCGCTGTGAATCGGGCATTGCCATTTTAACATCAAGAGTCAATTGAAATAACGCTTTCAGTCCCTTTAATCTTAACAAGGTTCCTCTTCTTATCATTTTCACTGTACAGGAATATGATGATTTCCTATTCCCTTTATTTACACTGAAGATTGTACGATCTACACCCTAGGTACTCGTAAATATTAAAATAACAGGGTATTCAATTCTTTTCAACCATGAATAATGACGATCTACCTAAGACCTAGAATAGTATAATCATACGAGGTTGCCAAAAAATGTTAGGAGCTGCGGCGGAGGTTCTGGAGAACTATAACAGGACGGGGTCCACTGTTAGCATTCAGGTCACTCCAGACTAACCAAGATGCAATCGGTTTCTTCTATTTTAATTCAATCGCGTTTTGATCTATAATTCAACAATCTTCAGCCTTACGAAATTGTATTTTATACTTTTTCATTAAGAATGCAGACAAAAAAAAGTAAAAAAGAGAAAAGGAGAAAAATATATGTTCACTTGGTCAATTTGTGATCGAAAGTGAAAGGCTTGCTGAGATAAGCAAACTTAAATCTGGTTGACGTGAGTTACTTGAAGGAGAGGTTGCGAGAATAAGTTACTATAGTAGAGGTTGCGTGTTACTGAGATTTAAGAATGAATCATTATTATCACACCTTCAGGCAAGCCCGGTAATCATAACGAATCAGACCTTTTTCACAAGAATTTATGACAAACAATGTGAACATGCTGGCATGACGCATACATGTAAAAACTGCGTAGCTTACACATACAGAGTACAAAATGACGGAAATTCTACAAAGTTGTAAATTGTCGAATTCTCGGAATACGATTAAGAAGCAAATAGTAGACATATAATAAGAGTATGATGTGAGAAACGTAACCATTACCAGCTTTGATGGACAACCATATAATATTAAGGGTGTTCTAACAGTAAAATACCAGAAGTATTTTAAAAAGTTGTTTGAATCTAACAAATATGTAATCCAATCCAATCCAATCCAATCCAATCCAATCCAATCCAATCCAATCCAATCCAATCCAATCCAATCCAATCCAATCCAATCCAATGCAATCCAATCAAATCCAATCAAATCATACCATACTCTGCAGGGATAGCTTTTTGTAAGGGTCAGAGGCTCAATTCCATCTAATACTCCGGGTTTTTAGTCCTATCTATAGCATGCATGTTAAAAATGGTTGATTTTGTTCACCCGTAGGTCCTTTGACGAGACGCGTGAAATGAAAGAACATTTTTGGAAGACTTGGGCAATTCAGCTTGTAAAGATTACAGCAATGCACGACCAAATTGGAGTAATGTTACACCGCCTGTTTGTTGCCATAGTGGATTTTTTTTGCTCCGAATATCTTAATTTAAATGATCATTTTTCATTTATCAAGGACAAGACAAGAAATTTATCAAGTCTAGTCAAAAGTCTTCGGGCGCATACCTGATCCCACACTGATATATCTTGAGGTACTCCAGGCTGCTGGGGACCAGGATACTGGCCTTCACAAGCTCATCATCAGCTCCAACATGATCCTTCTCAATATGTGTCTCCATCTAACACAATAATAATTGATCTAATAGGTTTAGATATATTTAAAAAATAGTCAGTATTTTTTAGGGATAATAAGCGGGAACAAAATATGTAATTGTATGTTCTATAAAGCTGCGACAATAATGAGTGTTCCCCCCTATTTCTCCGTTTTCATTAATATTAGCTTGGGAACCCATCTTTGCCTCAAGTTTTCCATGAATCAAAAAAACCGTTGTGTCTATTTCCTTTATAATTTCTCTTAGGATAAAAATATTGTAAAGTTTGATAAAAAATAAACTAACAGAATACAGTTTTTAAATGCTGGTAGTTTTTTCAAAGTTTTTTAAAAGCCAGCCATTTTATGTCCAATCAATACTAACCGGATCCTTACTCATGAAAAATTTTCCTTGATTCACAACGATGTTCCATGAGAAAGACGGGCATACAACTCGTTATTACATTCTGCAACAAGACAACTGGTTACCTGCGCATATTCGTCAAGTTTGATTCCACACCCAGCACATTGAAACTTGGTTACTCCATGCCTGCTTGCATGAATCTCAACACTTTCAGGGTCCTCCTGCAACAGACCAAGATAAACTTAGTTACTTTATGCCTGCTTGCATAAATATCAACTTTCTCAGGGTCCTCCTGCAACACAACAAGTTACTTAATTACTTTATGCCTGCTTGCATGAATCTCAATACTCTCAGGGTCCTCCTGCAACACAACAAGTTACTGAAGTTACTCCATGGTGTCCTGCACGAATTTCAAAACTTTCAGGGTCCTCCTGCAACAGAACAAGATGAACTTAAGCTAGTTCATGCTTGCTTGCATGAATCTCAACACTCTCAGGGTCCTCCTGCAACAGAACAAGGTTGACTTGATACTTTGTTACTTTATGCCTATTTTCATGAATCTCCATGACGTGTCATTCCACTTTAGTTTTCACTGTAACGAATATATATTAAATTTAAAATTTATAGAAGAAAATAAAACATAATATGAGTTAATTGGTTTTATCCAGAAACCGAATGTTTTGTCATTGGGGATTAAGAAAATAATAATGAATACAAAGCAACATAAATCCAGATTCGAATAAAAAGGAAAATTCTTTTTTTAAACAATTAAAATTTGTTTGATTTCAATATCAATAGTAAATAAAGTTTTAGCGAGAAAATAAACGGGGTGGAGATTCCTGAAGAACTTAATTGATGAAAGAAGAATTAAGGAAAACTAGATTCGGATTCGGATTTTAAGACCTGCTTAATCCATAAAATAAATTGAACGCATTTCTACAAGATTTAACCTGATTATAAGGAAAAGGACTCGGGCAATACTCACAGATCACTTCAAAGGAATCTTTTCCTGTTCAATGTTCATAAATTACATTTCAAATATTCACAATGAATTATTATGAATTATTCCATTATGAAAATTTGGTTACCCACAAAAGATGACTGTAAAGACGACCTGAAAATCATATACTTTGACATTATAAAGGATGAACAAGCTTTATAAATTAACAAAACTGGAGTTGCAGGGAATTTTAAATTTAAGAAAACAGACAGTATAAATTCAGTACTGTCGACTGTAAAGTCTCAATCTTTGTGGATAACCCTGTAACTACACAGAGGCTTTCAAATCACTACTTTCAATGCCACAAATTGTTCACTGCAGGGAGAACCAGAAAACTCTAGAAAAGGAAGACTACTTCCAGGCTTAAAAGTTATAACTTTACATAGTCAATGAAATTAAAACATAACCATTTTGTAGAGAACATACCCATTTAATTTGTTGTTAAATTTAGTTAATTACTAGGAAAAATATTTGCTTTTTAAAAACCTCGAATGCATATTAGTTTAGCTAGGATGACGTTTTCATATTCCATAATTTACTGGTTTACACTGTACATCGTAAAACGAATAACTACGCAGATTTTCCCGCTTGGTTGATTTCTAAAACACTTAAAAATTAAAAAAAAAACGTTGAAGCAGAAATGTATAATTAATAATTATAGACCGGTCATAACCCTGTTCAGACTCCCATCATGGGATTATGCGATTTCATACAAAATCGGTTCAGCCCTCTAGACGTTATTTACATATAGAAACAGTGAATGTAAACTTTGTTAAGTAAGGAATTCATATTTTTTTTCATTTTAAAATAATTTCCCGCGCGTTTTTCAAGTGAGAATTGATAAACCAAAATAAAAAAGTGCCTGAGACATTCCGCTTCTTATCTTCTATGTACGTTGTCCTAAATTCCGACTTATCGTATCTAGGTTTCCTTTCAGCTGCTTTCTCCTCCAAGTATTTGGTCCAGTACTCAGACTTCTGGTAGGAGGACGGATGGACGACGGGAAGGAGAGAGACGGCTGTTCCAATCAGGTTGGTACATCCTCCAGCTAGGATCTAATGAAGAAAATTCTCAACGTGAATCGTGACGACATTTCACTGAAGGGTGTATATTTGTAAATAAATAGCCCCCCCCCTTAGAATATAATTTATCCCCCCGAAGATTGGTTTTTCAGGCGTTGAATTCTTAAGAATGAATTGAAAAATATACTCCTGAAATGGAAGCAATTCCCCCGCGCCCCTGAAATTGTGTCTGACATAAAAAATATGCAACAAACCAAAAATCGTTAACATTTTCGTGAGACAAATATACTGTTCTAAAATGTTGACATTATGATCGAAGTCTTAGGTGATAACACTTTTTGAAATATTTTAAATATTGTATTGAATACCTGAGGAGGGGGTGTTAACATGGAAGGGATGTTATGATAAGCATGTGCAACATCATACCGATTCAATTCTGACAATTTCACACACAAATCAATTTTAAACCTTCCCTTGTTAATTAATTACTTTCCCCTAGTTTTAAAGACGAAAAAATTATGTTTATTATGTCAAATTGTGATCGAAAGTTACAGTACTCCGAGATAAAGACCCAACCGTGAAATACACGTGAGCTGTCGATTAATAGAAATTAAGACATATTTTGTTCTTATTAAAATGGTGTCTTCCTGTGGCAGAATATGGATTAGCGGAAGCAGTTGTATTGCTTATTTGTAATGCCTGAAGATAATTTCAAGTTATTAAAAGTCAAAATAGTGAAGAACAATGTCCTTCATTTTGCTTCAATATATAAACTATGAAAATAGTCTGATTTATTTATTTCATGGTTTTTAGATTAAGCAAAGATGATCAATGGTTTTAGTATTCTAAAACACAACACCTGTCCTTCTTGAAATATGTTCAAACGACTAGATGAATAGGCTGCAGTAGGACACGGGATGACAGGAACCAGCCTAAAAATTGACAAAATTTAGGACAGGTACTATGACAGGAACCTGGAACCAGCCTAAATATTGAGTTGGAGTAGGACAGGGTACCAGCCTAGTTATTGGTAAAATATAGGACAGGTGGAGTCTAGTTATTGGTAAAATTTAGGACAGGTATAAGAACAGGAACAATACTAAATATTGGTAAAATATAGGACAGGTAGTAGGACAGGAACAATACTAAAATTGGTAAAATATTTTTTTCTAGAAAATATCATTTCCTTTTTTCCTTCCCAACTTCTCAAACTTATTTTTTGTTTCAAAATGTTTAGGGGGAAATTGTAAAGCTTGAATGGCGGGGATCGCTCAAAAAGCTGGAATCCCTTGGGTTGAGCTTAAAAATTACCTTCTTCCCAAATAAGGAAAATTATAAGAGTGCTGAATCTGGTGTAGTTGAGAACTAAACAAATTTCGTCTTCATTTTAAGAAAATAGATTAAAAATAAACAAGAATATGAACGATTTTTTCTTTCACTTTCTCCAAAATGATTTGTTAATATTTTTTTTCGCTAAACCTTTCAAATGATAGACATAAATTTTAGGAGGTGAAGGAGGGGGGNGGGTAGTAAAATAAATGAAAAAAAAATAACTTTGCTATTTTTTTGTCAGAAAATAAATTTTCGTTTAAATGTTTCAAGGGAAAATTTAAGAAAATATCCAAAATAACCACCAAAGAAGTTTATATTAAATCAAAGATGGACATGAGTTCTACTTTTGAATCAATAAATTTTTTGTGGAGATGTACCTGTAAGCTTCTGCAATTCTGTTCTTAACATTCTCTTCATCTTTCCGGTTGTACTCTAGCAGTGCCTAAATAAATATAGTTTGGTTGAGGAAAAGAATTTATAAATTACTAATCAACGAATCGGCGTTTTTATTTCGAATCTTCAGGATATTGTAGTTTCAATAACTAAAAATTACTGAACCTACAGAACCTACAAGGAGATTGAGTGAATCTTTTATTTTTGTTACAACGAAAAGAAAAACGAGATCCAGGAGCAATGGGGATCCGGGATATAGAATACCAAACGAGAAATACATGATCCAGAATCTTGGATCTCGATTGGAAATAAAGAATCCAAGTTATGCGTAGGATCTTCCAAGAGAAACATAGAATCCAGTATCTTGAATATTCATACTCTGAGTGAGACATTCACGGTTACCCACAAAGGATGAAACGTTTAATGGAGTCAATCCGAAGGTTTAATTTGTTATTTGCTTTTTTTAAACATGTTTCTCAACGGATAAAAGGGGTACGGAAAGAGAAAATGTTTGAAGTTAATGGAACCTTGATTCATCCATGTAAGAAAAATTATCGTAAAAATTCGGTACAGTCGTCTCCTAAATCGCATTCCTCGTGTGAAACCATGTATGATCCTGGGTCTTGGATCCTTTAAAAAAACCCAGTATGTGAGATTCTACACGGGAAAAATTGATAAGTAAAGGATTTGGGGATCTTAGATTCTTAGCGAGAATAAATTCAAGATTTAATTTTTATGTCTTATATCCAAGATCCTAGTTTTCTCACTCAAACAAGAAATCCAATCTTGAATCATAAACGAGACCTAAGATGGCCGGATTATGGAATCAAAAATGTTAAATATTGGCTCTGAATCTATGATCCGCAATACAATAGACGGGAGCAAGATTGTACGATTAATTAATATGTGTAAATTTCGTACCCTGATTAAAGATCAATTCAAACCAAACTAATTGTCGAAAACAGATTTTCCTTTCAAATGAAGTTTCAAATTTATCTTTTTTTAAACACCTGTATAGGACAGAGTTTACTCGAAGAGTCGAAAAATACATCCCGATCGTTAGTGCTATGGTCATCATGGCCAACTACTGGCTCAATCAAAGAAACACTCCGAAAACTTTTAATACTTTCCTAAAATAATCATCATCATACTTTAGTCTCGAGCAAAATAAAGCAAAAATTTAAAAAACTAAACCAGTATGTTAAAATTGTATGTACTATTATTTAAATGAGTTTCAAGTTAACCACTCGTAATTAAAAATATTTGAAATCGATACAAAAGGCCTTTAAAATCCATTCAAGTGATGGTAGAAAAGGTTGTTTGAGTGATGACAAAGAGACAAGGCTCATTAAATAAGATTATTGTCCGATGTCCAACAGTATCTTTTTAAACGTTAAATTGATCAATAACGAACTAGATATCTATATACGTCAAAAACCGGTTCCAATTTAGCGTCAGCACAAATCTCGAAACACTGAATACAATTTAAGTGTCAACAACCATATTTGAACCGCGGATAAAATTTGAGACTAAGATCCAATTCTTTAAGTTCGGCCTCTGGAGGAAAAAAATGTTCAAATAGGTTCTCCTCTAGGGACTAGCGGATTTATTAACGCAGAGACAGTATGTAGCAAAATTATTTTTAGAATTAACTTCAAGACGAAATTACGGCCCTAGTACTTTCTAAGATAAATATATAAAGGGTACCGAAGGGAATAGAACATATCACGTGTTGTTAAGTTGAGGTTCGCTTAAAATAACACTCCAATATAAATTTGTACTATGGATCGGAATAAACAATTGCAAAGCTTATAAATCACGTCAATCTAAAGTAGAATGCACATAAGATGGTAATTTTAAGTTTTATATAACTCCATTCATTAAATAGCTATTGAGAAGATCAAAAATTTGATAATAATTAACCAAATAAATCGTCTTTTCTTCTCGTGTGTATAAAATAAGAACTAGAGGAGCAACGGAGTCGCAAGGTTGTAACAGTAATGAAAATTAAATTTGACCTTCTCCTCCTGGTTAGTTTACAGTGAAATTCAAGGAAATTTTAACGAATTACCGACAAGGAATAATTTAAGAAACGACTGAACAGATTTAAAAAAAAAATTTTTCCACTCGTTCTGTTACACACATAAACAAAAACAAACGTTTGTTTTTTCCCAGTGAAAAGCGTTCAATTCTTATTATTCATAAATGTCTTCCTTCAGTAGATTACAAGTCACTTCTGTAGAAAAATCACAATTGGAAGTCAGTTTGCAAAATTATTGAGTATAAACGTCAATCAAAATCATCCTTAATCTGACAAAGCTTTTAAAGGTACCGTTGTGATTGCCTTCTTTGCATGGGGTCAATTGAAATTACACTTAGTTGCTTTAAAAACTATTCTCAACCTTCGGACAGTCATTAGTCTCATTTCTGTGAATAACCCTGTATCATATCCATATACCTCAAGAGATTGTTGGAATCCATTCCAATCAGATTCTTCATTCAATCCATTTTCCATTTTCCATCAAGATCTACTAACATTAAGTCGTTTCACATCAGTTTTAATTATTGAACTGAATTAGAAGAGAGTTGACGAATTTATTCAGTATTAAATTCCGTTTAAGTAAATTCAGTACATGAATATATAATAAAGAGAAGAAATCGGTGTAACTTAACGATTGCGGCATTTCAAAAATAAAATATGCGAATCTGATATCCGCAAGAATTTCTTTGAGAAATCCACTAAATCTCGTCCAGTCGCGGATTTCTCCACTCTATGTCGGGGTTGAATATGTTTACAGCTTCAGCTTTGTCCTCCTCCAGTGTCTCCTCTTGGCGTTATACCGGATAGTGTTTCCAGTCTTCATCCTAAATAAGATTAACAATTTACTATGAAGTTTAAATAGTTATTTTGTATTTTTTAAACATGCTTTGAGAGACTTGCAACTTGATAAAAATAGGATAGTTGACATAAAACAAAATAGTTTTCTATTTAAGTAAGATATAACCCTATTAAGAGATTGGTTTTGATACAGTCTAGCTAGTTAAGATTAAAGATTAAATAAAAAACTTATAAATTAATAGTTTAAAATACGTATAGCCAAAAATCCTACAATATCTAAAAGCGGCAAATTACGAGACTAACTTAATTCTTCCCCTCCTACCTAATCCACTGTGGGATCGGTCTGTTCTGCTTCATCTTCTTGGAAAGTTTAACTTTCACACGGAAAGTCTTGAGCGCCGACATGTCTTCTGAAAATATTGAAAATGCAAAATATACTAAATTCATCACAAAAATATAGATCTGGAACATTGACGCAATGCCAGCTTACATATAATTATATATTTTACAATATTTAAACTCTAAATTTAGAGAAAAGAAAATTTGGTAAACTCATCTTTGCATAGGAAACTTGAGCTTTTAGTACACTATTTAAACCAATCAATACTAAATTTTTGCATGTATACAAGGCTAAAGTGTTAAATAAATCTCAGATCAATTTTAAACAATTTTAATTTACAAATTTTTTTCCTAACTATAATAATACACGGTTACCTACAAAGGTTGAGACTGTAAAGACGACATGAAACTTCTAATTATGACTCCTACAAGGTTTTCGGTTGTGTACAGCCTTTTTATACTTGGACAGAGAAAGAAAGAAAATTATAGTTGAAGGGAATCTTAAATATAAGGAAACCGTGTTAATTCCGTACAGTCGTCTCTTCAGTCTCATCTTTGGTGAGTAACTCAGTATGTGGTTTAACAACAATCTCTAGATTCTCCTGGTTCATGATGTAATATCCCAGTGAAAACCTCGTATCTATGGTTTAATCCTTCTAGAGTATGGATTTTATCCTGAGAACCAAGAGCTCCGTCCCTACTAGGCCGACTGTAGAATACTCGTCTAGTTCGCATATGTATGAGGGCCATAGAGCAGAGATGACAGGGCTCCTGTACCAAGTAAACGTCGTACCTAGATATATCATCGTTATCATACAAATCTAGTCAGACCTGGACATATCATGGTTATTATAGAAATAAGTCTAGTTATACCTAGATATACTATAGTTAATGGTTATCATACAAATCTAGTCATAACTATATGTATCATGGTTTTCATAAAACTAGTCGGACCTAGATATATCATGGTTATCCTACAAGTCTAGTCGTACCTAGATATATATCATGGTTATCATACAAGTCTAATCCTACCTAGATAAATCCTTGAGTCGTACCAAGATATATCATGTGTATCATATAAGTCGAGTCGGACCTGGATATATCATTTATCATTCAAGTCGAGTCGGACCTAGATATCATGGTTATTATACAAAGGGGATGGTAGAGTTGGCATGTTTGATGTAGTGGGGGAGTACACAGGTATATCAGGGTTATCCTACATGTCTGGTCGTAGGTCTATAAGGGTTATCATTCAAGTCTAGTCGTACCTAGATATATCATTGATATCATTCAAGTCTAATTGTACCTAAATATATCATGGTTATCATGTAAGTCTAATCGTGTCATGGTTATCATAGTCTAGTCAAACCTAGATAAACCATGGTTTACCCACAAGTCTAGTCGTACCTAGATATATCATGGTTATCATACAAGACAAGTCTAGTCATACCTAGATCAAATCATGGTTTACCCACAATTCTAGTCGTGCCTAGATATTTCATGTTTATCATACAAGTCTAGTCGTGCTTAGATATATCATAGTTAACATAAAAGTCTAGTCGGACCTAGATATATCATGGTTATCATACAAGTCTAGTCGTGCCTAGATATATCATGGTTATCAACAAGTCTAGTCGTGCTTAGATATATCATAGTTAACATAAAAGTCTAGTCGGACCTAGATATATCATGATTATCATACAAGTCTAGTCGTGCCTAGATATATCATGGTTATCATACAAGTCTAGTTGTACAAAGATATATCATGGTTATCATTCAAGCCTAGTCGTGCCAAGATATATCATGGTTATCATACAAGTCTAGCCGTGCCTAGATATATCATGGTTATTGGTTATCATACAAGACAAGTCTAGTCATACCTAGATCAAATCATGGTTTACCCACAATTCTAGTCGTGCCTAGATATATCATGTGTATCATACAAGTCTAGTCGAGCTTAGATTAATCATGGTTTTATGAGAGAATGATTTCGTGAATTAGTTTTCGACAAAATTGAAAAATATTAATTTGTACAAAACTAATCCAGGATACAGATTAGCATCAAAATTTAATGGATTGTATGCACTGCACTGGAATAAACATAAAACAGAGAGAAAAAATCTTTGATGGAAAATATACATCATGGCTAAAAATGCAAAATAAATCTGTATAGGAAATGGCGAAGTTAGAAGTATGATTAAGTTCTAACATGAAATTGATCCCCACTAGGTGTTTAATCTTCGAAAACTTTAGCATCGAATAATTATGAAGAAATTACTCAATAACTCTAGATTCGATTAAGTTTCTTACGACAAAGAAGACGGATGAAAATATTTGCTCTAATGACTAGCAATGTCATTTCAAACAGCTCAGCCAGGCTTTTGAAAATAACAATCTCAGATTTCGGTTTTAATAAGACACGGCTAAATTTTCGGCTCGAGATTTTAATAATCGAGGACAAGGAAAATCAAAAAGAAATTGGAATTAAAAAAGTAGTTTTTTTTACTGACCCCCCCCCCCCCACCAACCCCCTCACACCCTAAAACCAAGGGTGAGAAATAAAAAGATAAAAAGAAGGAATAGATTCTAATATTCTGGAAAGGCAAAAGAGACACCTACCCCGTGCACAGATATGGTCCAGTTTTAGGAACAGAGGATAACTGCGCAATGCTGCCGTATCTCTTGAGATGATTGTGCGATGTTGTCGTTTTTTCCTCGACCTCTTCACTGGTTGAGGTATCCTGGGGGATGGTAGACGGGTTGAAGACGAGGGTGGGCGTAATCTCGGTGTGTTCAAGTGCTCCTCCTCCCTGAGATCTAAACAAACAAAATTGAAATAGCTCGTCTCCGAAGCGCCTCTAAATTTTTTTGTAAACTAAAGTTTTTGCCCCAACTTCAATGTTATGTTTAAGTGCTCATCCAGAAAAAGTTTTGCTTCCTAATAAGTCAGAAATTGAAGAGTTTAGCTTGAATTTTCTCCCTTACAAGCGTCAAGGAAAATAAAGTGATTAAAAGCCTAATTGGGCGAGTTAAAACTGTTTCAGTTTATATCAGAAAATTTGCGGGGGGGGGAGGGGTCAGCAGTTAAAAACGAAGAGATAAAGATTTTTTCTAAAATCTTTTCCAATAAAAAATTTTAATATTTGATGCTTACCTGGCCACTAAGTCTACTAGATTCATAACTGTATGATGTAGTGGGTGTCCATCAGTTCCATGTCCTTCAGCAATAACGGTATTAGTACTAGGATCCACCACCAGTCCCCCACCTGTCCCTCGACCCAGAGCCCTCGTCATAAACTCCTCCTGGAGCTTCCGGTTCTCCTCGCTCCACAGCTCGTGGGAGCTGGTGACCAGGGACTCAAAGTACTTGTCCTCGTGGAAGTTGCAAGGCCAGTATGAGGGCAAACACTTTAAACCCTCGAACTGACTTCTTGTCAATGGTGCAAATTTAGCGACTAATTCACGTCTAAAATTTGGAGAAAAGGCGGAGGTGTCAACCCCGGTCTCTTTCAGTTTATTTATCACTTGGGTTGGATTTATATCACAGTCTGGGTCTATACTCCACAAGAGCAGGTAGATAGAGTTAGTGTCGCCTTCTTTCAAGGATTTTACACGCTTCAAATGCTGCAAACTTGGAAGAGGTAAAACTTCATTTAATTTCCTAAAAAGAACAATTACATAATTTAAAGCTGAAAAAAAAATCAAGTAATAATTTGGACTCTTCAATTTAACGTTCTTTTTATAATTAACTTTTTCATTTGAGAATTTTAAAAATCATTTACACACTAAGAAAATTTCTGACCGGTCAACCTTCCCCTACAAAAAGGATCCATTTAATTTTGATGCGGATCCGGATCCTGGATCCGCACTAGAAAAAATGGATCCGGATCCAGGTCATTTCTTTAAGATTTACTGAACTTTTTTAACAAAAAATTATTTTCAAATTGTTTGTTCAATTTTTCTTGCTATTTTTATCCTTAAACCATTCAGAAATAAAGAAATTTTTATAATCTCTTTTTTTTCAAAAGTTAAGATCCGGATTTTAGGAGTAAAAAAGTTTTTTTTGCAGTTTCTGGTTGATATTTAACCCATTTGGATCCGGATCCGTGGATCCGCAAATTTTTGCGGATCCGGATCCAGGAAGGCAAAATCTTGCGGATCCAACGGATCCAACTTTTTAACGAAGTGAATGTTTCAATGCTTAACTCACGAGATTGAAATAAATCCAATCAAATTTAAAATAAGCAATGTATTTTTATTTAGCATGAATAGCGCCAATAGCAAGTAGAAAACTGTACTGGTATTAATACATGCCCAACCGATCAATATTAATGTTATATTTAAAAAAACGGAGATAATAAGGTTAAATAAACCAAAAAATAAAAAAATCCCCCCCCCCCCCCGAATACAACTTAACAGGAGATTATACCTAATCAAAGTTGAAGTTTGTTTCTTATCTATAATCTGAGCAGCAAGAGCAGGGACTAGAGGAACAGGAAGACGAGCAGCATCTCCAAGCACAGCAAGCAACTTCCACGGCCTAAAAATAACAATAATTAAATGAAAAAAAAAAATGTGTTCTTCACAGATTAAACTTATCACAAATGCATATCTAGTTAGTCCGGATACTAAACGGTACAGACTGCTGTATAGAGCGAAAATTCTTTTTTTAAGCTTGTATCTGTATAGGAAATGGCGAAGTTAGAAGTATGATTAAGTTCTAACATGAAATTGATACCCACTAGGTGTTTAATCTTCGAAAACTTTAGCATCGAGTAATTATAGAGAAATTACTCAATAACTCTAGATTCGATCCAAGATACTGAACTGTGATTAAAAGGTCTCAAGCTCTCATGCAAATAGACGAGAATTTTGCCAGTGCTAAAGGTGCTACAGAAATGCACAAGTGAATAAGAGCGTTTAAATCAAAGACCAAGGCGTTAACACTTCAAAGTCGACCCACTCTTAAAAAATTTATGACAAATATAAGTAGGCTGAATCTACAGGATGTCCCATTAAACATGGGAATTCAGTGAGGACTTTTATACCGTCTTGATCCGTGCGGCATTTTTCATAAACACGACTTTTGCCTTTTGCAGTATCTCAGCTTAACCATCTAATATCAAAACGCCTTGTCCAGGATTTCAAAATGTGGTATACCATTTTTGTATTAATAGAGATATTGCAAAATTTAAACGAATTTCAATTTATTTAATATATCAAAATTGCCTTAATATCTAATATCTTCGTCAATTTTTAAAATACAGGAAAGGCAGACCAATTTAAGAAAAGCTCGTCAGACGTACAGCCTCGTTTTTTATTTTATTTGCCATGAATTAAACAATATAAATCAAAAACGACTTTCAAGTCGTCTCACAATTTGCATGTTTATTGGGACACCCTATGACAGCTAGAATGTAAATTAATATAATTTTTTATTGATTGATATTTCCGATTCACGACGATTCCCTTTAACTAAGAAACAATAAGGAAGATAATCATTTTCATTCGTAAGGTTAAAGTCTGATAATTTTATTTTAATTTCTCGAATGCACATCTGCAACTTAAAATTATCAACTAACAATGGAATCTCTCTTAAAACCGCATTCAAAGCTTTAATGGATTTTTGTAAATTTCTTTGAAGACAAGGAATGAAGTTTTATTTTTAAATATTAAGTAAAAAGACTTACTTAAAAGGATAAACTTTGTCACCGGCTTTTAGACGCTTGAAAGGAGGTTCTGCGTCCACAGGAGAATTTGGACGAAGGGTTGGACTCCTGGCAGGAGAACCTGGGGCATCCTGATCCAGTAGAAGGGGTGGCTGCATGCTTACCATCCACCTTCATCAGGAGGTGTCTGAAATATAGATAACAGATCAATATCATTTCATTATTAACACGTTTAGTCAAAACAAAATAACAATTTGACACCAACTTGTCCAAGTTAAACCATGAAGTTGTAACAAAAAGTGCAAATTTGTGGAAAACACTATTAGTCCACTGTGTACTTGTAAACCGCTTTATCAACTGTCAAGGCAACCTTAAGCGCACGGGCATCAGTTTCCATGCGCATACAGACAATCTTGCAATCCAAGATTTGACCTTTTTTCACTGGTATTGGATTAGGTAGGTAGAAAACTGTTTGTTTCCAGTGTGTAGGGACGGTGTGTGGTCCAGTGCTAAACATGACCGGGGTCGGTAGATCGAAGAAGGTGTCAAAGTATCCGAGAATACCAGTCATATCACAGTCCCTGGAGATCTGGAGACTGAAGGGAGAGGTGAACTGGGTGTCCTCGACGGAGCAGGTGTTCAGGTCGAGGCTGAGGACGGTGGCAGGGTCGGAGGCTGTTGAGGAGGAAGGTACAACCTCGACACTAGCCTCTTCAAGTATGGGGTTCCGCATACAAGACATCTTGTAACCATAAACATTCTCCCAGAAACCAACAAGACTAAATAATACCAGATTATTATATTATCACGAAGTAAATTAAATATTTAAAATTGAACACATTTACTTAAGTGGGTCTATATTTTACAAATGAATAACGAGGAGAAAAATCAACCAGCAAGCAATTTTATCTTTCTGAATCAAATCCAAAATTTAAGGAATACTTTTAAACAATATTTACATTTCTCTGTATTTATGTTGATATTGAAATTGTAATTGAACTATTTTTCATTTATATCTAAAAATTATATTCTCATGTATCAAATAAACACTTAATAACTGTATAGGAAATGGCGAAGTTAGAAGTATGATTAAGTTCTAACATGAAATTGATCCCCACTAGGTGTTTAATCTTCGAAAACTTAGCATCGAGTATTTATAGAGAAATTACTCAATAACTCTAGATTCGATAATAAAAATGATGAGAGGAAAACTATATAAAAAGGTGTAAAATCATAGAATCAATATGGTCTCGAATGTTCTCTCGCTAAGGAATAGACACAGTTTAAAGTGCGAATAGACTTGTCTTCTCGATCTGGACAATTCTATCCAAAAACTTAATGACACTGCGGATTAAAAATTATATTTATACCTGTTGTATCGTTGAGTATCGGATATGGCAAGAAGACTGATTGTGCATCTGTTGGGTAAGACCATCCCACCCGGAGCTAAATATTTATCCCGAGCTGAGATCACGGAGTCAAGCATCCCTTCGAACAACAGGAAGTATCCCATCCACTCTGAGATTATAAAATCAAATTTCTCCTCTGGTAACGGAGTCTCCTCTAGTCGACCCTTAACCAGAGTAACCTTTTCCGTCAACTTGTTCTCGCGGATGATGTCCATTGCCTGGTAAATGATCTCGCTACAATCCACGCCGACAACAGTCGCCGCTCCAGACGCCGCGGCGAACATAGACAAGATCCCGGTCCCGCAACCGATATCAAGCACCTTGGAGCCGGTCAATCTCTCCGTGTTCTTCAGCATTGCGTCTCGGTAGGACTCGGTCCGTACTCGGTCCGAAAGCATGTCGTAGTGGATGGAGTAGTGGGCGTAACTCTCAAAGTAGGATGAATCCTGTTCAACGGTTTTATGCTCTGACACTGATACTACACCTCCAGTAGGTTTGCCTCCAGTCTCTTCCATACCACTGAACATGTATTATTGATTATTTTTACTCTCCAATCGCGATCACGTTTATTACACTGATATTTCTTGCCCAAATATAATTTGCTTTCATTTATTTCCGAAGATGGCGAGAAAAATTGTATTTTTTAAAAGTGAGAATTACACAAAATAATGAAAAAAGAAAACTTTAATTTAAATGTTTGATAATTTCAGCATTTGCCTTCACACGAGTTAAGCATAATAGTTGAAATAATCGGATAATTTTGCATGAATAGCGCCAGAGCAGGTATAAAAACCAATCTGGTATTAATACATGCCAACAATTTTGAATTCAGGGTTTGGAATTTGATTTAGTATTTATCACCAGTTTTAAATAAAAACTGTGAGATAAGAAGTAAAAACCTGAAAAGTGTACAAGTTAATTTAGATAAGGCTAGGGGAACATTGACAAAATAATTTCCTGAAATTAACAAGATTACTTGAAGCCTAATAACTCCTATAAACCTCACTACAGATTTTTTATTCTCCTTACTTGAGCAGTAGAATCCTATTACTCCAAAAGTGTGGTAGACAACAGCATTTTTAAATAGTTATAAAAAGGAAACGTTCATTTTGCAGTGGGATGATTTAAACGAAATATAAACCCCTGGGTTTCACCTGAAAAGACTCTGTGCTGCAGATCTCATCTTCAACATATCCTCTCTACACTGTCCTAGCTCAACCTGCTTCTCCTCCAGCTCCCTCTTCAACTCTTCAATCTGCTCGTTCAACCTCGTCTCCAACACCGTCCTGTCCCCCTCCGAAGTGCTCTTCGACCTATGCGGATTTTCAATCTGATCGTTCAACTCCCGACTAATGTCAATCTCGAATCCGTTCTCCTCGTCGTCGTCGAACATATCACACTCATCGTCAAGGTTGTACATGAGGAGCGGGTCATCTTCGATAACAGGTTTCATAAACTTGGGATCCTCCCACTTGGAGTCGGAGCTGAGGCTCATAACAAAACCAGGGCTGGGCAACTCCGTTCTCAGATAGTTGATGAACCTGGAACATTTTTAACTGTAACACAAGTCTAAGAATATGTATATATATAGAGGGCAGTGCTCAGGATCCATTTCAAACAAATTAATCTCTTATTGGTTAATAATTGAGATTTGTGTCATAAGAGCAAAAATTATTTTTAAGCAGACTTTGTATTCCAAACCGGAATCCGTATCATAAGCTTCGGGTTGAGTAGTGATATGTGAATTAAACAAAATTTCCCTCTTTGGAAACATGATTCCGACTAGCTTTAAGTTTGAAATCGTGGATAACATTTATATCAATCCAATAAAATTATTGAAACTTTCTCCATGAAAAGACTAGAAGCCTTAAATGAGCCTTAAATCAAATTTTAGTTCATTTCATTTGCAATTGTATGTCATTGACAATTTGTCCCATTTCATATGTAATAAGTTAAATTAAAATGGTGATTGGGTTTCAATTCAATGGTAATTGGTTTCATTTCAATGGTGATTGGATTTAATCTCAATGGTATTTGGTCTCAATATTTGTATTAATATTTAGAGGGTTGTTTCACAAATATACCTTGTGAACACAAAATGATAATCTGATGAAAATAAAAAATATTAGAATCTCAATTAAATCTTCACGCGTTCATTGTTATAAAAAACAATTAACCTAATAAAACTGAAAGTATCCATGCTGTGTCTTTTCTTCAGAATATTCAGGTCAATTCCATGAACGTCCCTGAATAGAACAGATGCAAATTAATAATAAAGTTTTGCAGCAAGAAAGGTATATTGGGTCAGTCCTAGAATACGATTTTTGGAACCCCCCCCCCTCTCCTATATCTTTTGTTACTTATTCCTCAGCAAAAATATTTTTTATTATTTCAGGGTTGGATTAGGTTGAGAAAATTTCAGGACCGAAAGCTGTAGCTGGGACAGGCTAAGGGGCAGAGCACTGCGGCTAGGAGAGGCTAGGGGCCAAGAGCCGCGGCGGAGACAGTTAAGGGGGCCGGGCGCTGCGGCCACATGACCAATTATATCCATGTGCTACATATTAGAATCATGAAAAATCAAGCGGGGGTCCAAAAGTCGTATATAATTACCAGTAATTTATTTTCAATCGTAAAGAAAGGTTTCATTATACCGAAAATAACTGAAATTTTTCATATACAAAAGTGATAGAATGGGGGGGGGAGATGGAATCCAAATGTAGTACTCAAGGACAGCACAGCTCCCCCAGACTTAATACGTGTGTTTAATTCAAACAAATATGCTGGAAGCAGTCTAACTTTGGTACCTACAGTGCTCTATACACTCCTCTGCAGTTTTGAACGTTTTCTTAGAGAATAAATCCAAGGCAGGCTGCAGAGAATCTACATATTGATCCTCATCGTCGAAATCCCGATCTTCGTCAGCGATGTTACTGTCGCCGACCCTAGAGATTAGATCAGGAATATCTTCATCACTTAAAGAACCAGAGCTAGACATTTTTGACCAACAATACGAAACGATTCAGCCTCAGATGCACGATGTGCTGGTGTAAAAATAAATGTAGTGCACGTGGAATACGTAGTCCGCAGTTAAATTGTGAACGCGGCAGACTGCACATCTGTGTAGAGACTAGGATTACCGCGTAGAACACAACGGTAATTCACAGATAAGTTTAACTATTACTAACTTATAAGCTCGACATTTTTTAACATTTGAAAATAAAGAAATATGACGAAATGTGTTAAAGAAAAAAGATAACAAGAGAGATTAGATGAGTTATAGGTCTGAGGGGGGGGGGGGTAAATTTGATATAATATTTTGTACTGGATTTAAAGGGCGATCTACACCCTCTTTAAAGGCAAAAGTTGCCATGGCCAATTCAGGGGCGTACGAAGGGGGGGATGGGGGCATCCATATATGGCGGCCGGTGGCTCATATTTAAAATAATTTTTATAATATGGGGGGGGGGGGTGATTATTAATAGGATACTTAATTCATCCTTTTTAAGTTTGTTAAAAGAAAAATTCAGCAAGTAAAACCCTGAAAATTGTATGGCATTCCGAGCCGCAAACAAACATATCTTCTGTTAAAAAACGGCTGGAGAAACTAAAAGTACGTCCTGGGCGACGCTGGGTTCCCAAGTTAGTATTTTGTAAAACTATAGTGTACTTTATCATTATTACTCATTTCACATGGTGAATTTTATTATTGACGTACAAGGTAATCATCTTGCTGTAAAGTTTAATTAGCTGTATATCATAGCAACCGTTCTAAAAAGGTATAAAGTTTTGATTTGAAATTGAATATTATATTTATAGCACGATAATTACTTTATGCTACTTTATACTTTGTGGGGATAGGTAAATGGGTGACTTGCGGGGGGTTAAACAAATCGGCGCAAATCAAGAAATGTCCTCTCTTGGAAATCTCTAATTACGTAATTCTGCATGGATTCAGATATGCTTCAAGCGGAGGCTTCAAGAGAATCAAGAGGTTTTTGATTCCACTGGAGTGATTCTAGAGGGTTTATGATTCCCATGGAGTTAACCATATTAGTTTAAAAGTGGTTATATTTCACTGGAGGGGTTTAAGAATAGAGAATAAAATATATATTAGAGGGGAATTTAAAGAATCTCTCGGCATGAATTTGTTCAGTCCCTTTCAGCCTGAAAGGGAGTTCAAAGTGTGCAAATCATGTAAATGTTAACAAATTATATGCAGTAGAGTACATTAATACAGTATGTTCCCTAGACTATTCATTTCAATTTCGAATTGTTTAAACTGTTAAATGAACTTTATAATGAATTAGGTGAATAAAAAACATCATTTGATTTATAGTTATAACGGAAAATCATCGTTTGTAAAGTGGAAGGCATAGAGTCTATGTGAAATGATCATTGGTCAATTATGAAACCAGCCTATTTCATAATTTGGTTTTCTTTCAACAATAATTTTAGATTTTCTATAAAATGATATTCCAGGGCCCAAAAGGTTATATAGCATAAATATGTGAAGTACACCTGCAGTATGGAAACAGTACAACATCATAATGGCCGTTTTACACTTTTTTCTAGTAAATTCCCCTCTAATACATATTCTATTCTCTATGGGTTTAAGGTTCCAGTGGGTTCATAACTCCACTGGAGGGGTTACACACAATACACAGGTGGTTGTTGATATTACTGGAGGGAATTATTTCCATTTGAGGGATTTCCATACCCATCCAAGAGATTTATTTGCACATCCTTTTTTGTTACACATTTTTTAGTCAACTCCTGAATAATCTAAATAATAAATTTCATGAAACTATAGTGTACTTTATCATTATTACTCACTTCATCATGAATTTTATAATGAGCGTGCTTTAAAGTAATCATCATGCTATAATTTTAAATTAGCTGTGTATTATAGCATGTGTTCTAGAAAGTTTTAATTGGTTCCCGGATTTTCTCAAAAAAAAATTAGGATTTTTCCAAAATATTTTTTTCAATTGAAATGAAAATAAAATTGGAATGAACTCTATATTTTGACTTCTGGTTTGTTTCAACACTTATTTGATCTAGAAACAGCCTGAAATAAGACAAGTAAAGTAAACAAACGTTTTCATAAAATTACAGCTATAACACTATAATTTTGGCACGACATGTTATAAAGTTTTTGGACTTGAATTTTCTCTATAACTGGAAAGTTCTCGCCTTTTTAAATTATATTTTGTCCCACGCGACCCACGCTAAAGCTCGGGACAAAATTAAATCTAGAAAGGCTTGAACCTTCTCAGGGGCGGATACAGGATTTAAGTGAGGGGGGGAGAGATTTTTTAGGAACAATAAAATTCATAATTAGGAACAAGAAATCGCAACGCAGGAGAAAATTTTTTTTACTTAAAAGACTCAAAAAGAGTCAAAATTAATGACTAAAGACTAAAAAGATAGATTTTTAACTTTTCACACATTATTGTTTATTGAGACAGATATTTTTCCTGTTATGCACTAGGGTTTCTTTCCCTTAAGCATGCTATTGTCGAGAAGCTATTCTGAAAATAGAAACAAAAAATTCCAAATTCAGGGGGGGGGCGAATTTCTCCCGCCCCCCCCTTGTACCCGCCCCTGAACCTTCTCGATAAAGAGCACATTTCTGTCCAAAAACTTTATATCGCACTACGAACCAAAATAACAGTGTTAAAAAAATTGTATCGCAATTTCACGCCAATTTTCTTGTTTATTGCCATTGGGACACCCTGTATATGATGGCCTAAATCATGAAAATTGCAATTTTGAAAAGTTTAGGTGAAATAAATGCATGTTTCCAGCTTACATTATAGTGAAAATTATGTCTGGGTAAAATTATAAAACATAATCGTAATTACTTTTTACTAAAATTAGACGTAAATCCATGCTTACTTGCTTAGGTCGTATAAACTTGTATTCTTTATATTTAAATATCTACTTGCCTGAAATACTATTAAACGGGAATTCATTAAAAAATAGTACTTCACTAAATCGTACATAATCTTTTAGACCTTAAGACTTAAATGCCACATCAAAAGAAGAAATAACTGTTTATTACCAGAAAAAATAATTTACCCAAACTATACATTACTATGTACATTTTACAGTAATGTACAATGTAAGATGTACACAAATGTACACTTTACAATCTACAGACATTTTAACTGTTTAAAATTGTGAACCCTGTACCTCGCACCTGCAGGTCAAAATTTTTCCTTTATATCTATATAGTTTTTAAAAATAATTGAGACATTTTTTTCAAAGTTTTTAAATACTTCAGATTTTTGATTTTTTGTGAAGATAAAATAACTAATGTAAGAGATGAATAAAATCTATTAGGAATCCGTCTTAAAAACTGAATTGATAAAGGTAACCGTAAAAAAGTTCTTTAAAATTTTTTTCGGAAATAAAATTTTGGCACTTAAAAAGTCCTGTAGAAAAGACCTTGAAATAAAAAGTCTCTGGATTTAAAGTCTTGCCATTTTAAAACTTTTACAGAAACTTTTGTTCCTGTGACTTTTATTACTTAGATTCGTTCATCAACGTTAAAATCGTTAAAACACGTTTAAAATTAAGTAAATTAACAGCAAACATCCGGTGTTAAGGAAAGATATTTGTCACAATATTTTTAAAAAATTTAACCTTAAATCAAATTTTTTTTAGAAATCTAACAACGGACAATTCAAGATCTAAGATTATATCTTTTAAATCGATAACTATACTGAATATAAGTTTTAATTTTTAGATTTTTTAATGATAAAAATGGAAATCAGCTTAATAGAATTATATTCTTTTGGGAAATAAAACCACATAAATCAGAATATTTATGACCCAAAATTTGACACGGAATTAAGTTTTGATGATATGCCTTTCTTTAAAAATTTTCCATTGATGTTAGTTCCTAATTTTTTTCTTCATGCGGTCAGTTAATCTTTATTATTATAAAGATAAAAAATCTTTACACCTTCATAAATAACTAAATAAATTAATCAATAAACATGGGAATTGAGAGACGACTGGAAAGTCGTCTTTGATTTCTGATATTTCCTACATGCAAAGAAAGTATAAAAATTAGGCTGTACGTGCTGTTCATAAAGTGGTATTTCTTTCTTGTTTCTTAAAAATTGACAAATGCATTAGATATTAAGACAATGTTGATTTATAAATAAATTGAAATTTCAAATTTTCAATATCTCCGACAATTTTGAAGATACAAATTGGTAGACCTCATTTTGAAAATCTCAAGACCAGGCATTTTTGATGTTATAGATGTCTAAGCTGGAATGCTGCAATTTTTGTGTTCATGAAAAAATGCAACATGGATCGAAGACAGTATAAAAGTCGTCCCTTAATTCCCAAGTTTATTGAGACACCCTGTATACTCTTCTCCACACAAAAAAAAACTCATTTGCTTCTATTCAAACTATTACCTAATTACAAACTGTGTTCATGTAATCTACATTCTGGGTTAGGTTAAGGAGGTTCAGATAAGCATCTAATTCTTTCAAAATTGCTAAAAATATTTTTTTTTACTTTCTAAGAAGACAACATGTAACAGTCTACATAATCAACTCTGAACTAAAAATTAACCAATCTAACAGCTTATATTTTAATTGTGCATGGGTTCACGACTCACGTTTTATCACTAGCTTCCTAATATCACTATTCATTAAAGAAACCCATCTTACAGCAAACTAGACATTACTGCAACTACTTTGTGACAGCGCGGCGTAGCTCCTTTATGTTTTATTTTTAGCATAGATATGAAAAAACTGATTTATCCTGTTTTCTCATGATAGCTCTTTATGGAGAGGAGTTACAAATAAAAACTTACAAAAACTTAATCTTCCATCAAAATTAACTAAAGTATCGTCTTCCTGCTCTGCAGTGCTTAGGGTCTCATCAAACAATATTTCATACAGGGTGTCCCAATAAACATGGGAATTCAGTGACGAATTCGATATCGTCTTTGTTATGAATTAGTATTGTAATACCTAATTTCAAAAATCATAATATTATTATGTCTGCTAGAGTTTATTTTATGAAAAGGGTAAAATACTGTAAAGATGTGTCTATACTAAGTACAACCGTATGCAGTCAAAACATAAACAAACAAAATGTGAACATAGCAGACAAAACTCTTACAGATTACATTTTTCTCAGTAGGTATCACTATACTAAATCAAAAACTTATTAAAAAAGACGATATCGAATTCGTCACTGATTTCCCATGTTTATGTTTATGTATCTAAATCAAAATAAGGTTCATTTGAGAAAAACATATCCTGACGATTTCATTAGCATCCGTGAGAAACTAGTAGGGTTTCCAGTCGGAATTCCGTTGCACAGAATTCCGTGACATTGTTCCAGACTCGCGCAGAGTTGTGCGGAATTGCCCAGAGTTTACAGGGCTCGCAATTGCGCGCAAGTAAACCCTAGAAAATAGTCATTCATATTTATATTGATATTAATCACTAATTCAGAATTAAAGATATTTTTATCCCCTGCATTTCATGTTTAGGAACATTCATCTAAAGTTCTATACAATTAAATTCTGATTTTATGTGGATTTCATGATTCAAAATCAAAAAATACCATATTTCCGACAATAATGTATACTTATTAGTGTAATATAAAAAAAAACATCTGCTTTAGAATAATTGCATTACGTGAGTCTAAGAGTCTAAGAATAAATTCATGAAGGCACAGCTTCAAAAGTATACGAGCGTAATTTAAAGCAGCGCTGGAATTTAATAATAATAACAAAAATAATAATGATAATAAATCAATTTAGTGCTAAAACAATTTATGTTTCCAGATTTGTTGACTATTGTACAATGATGGTTGTTGAATGGGTAAAATTAGTTAAATAAAGTTCATTTATCTAGATTTATTTACTATTTTAAATAAACAACAGAAGGTGTTCTGAACTTATTTTAAGAAGAAAGATTTATTTACATTATATTTCAGGGGATATTAGCTAAACCTAACACTTGGCCCATTTCTAACACTGAGTGTTCTGGGCCAAATCTGCAAAGTTATCTTTTTAAGAACAAAATTACACCATATATTTATAAAAAATGGCTCTTAAACTATATACGGAAATAATAAATGTCAATTTTAAACTAATAATAAGGTGTGAGAATTAGTTTTTTATTATTCTTGATTTCATTATTGAACATATCCCTATTTTGAAACAATTACCGGATTTCAGCTCGTGTCGCGTTTTCGGAACATATCCTGGTTTTAAGACAATTACCGGAATTCGATTCACCGACAAAGGGTCAAACGACCCAGGGTCAAACGACACAGGGTCAAACGACACAGGGTCAAACGACAATTTGCATTTTCCACTCATTTCTGGCATTCACAAACTCCATCAAATGAAGGCTTCATTTCATACCTTTCAGCATTGACCTTGTTTTATATTCTTCATTATAGTCATTCATTTTACATTAACTACAAAAAAAATTAAATTTATTTTAAGTAAGATAAAAAATAATAGTTTTACTCAAAGAAGAAAAGGATTTTACTTTTTAAAATCTTTAGAAAAGCTACTCTGCAAAACTTTGAAAAAATATTGTTTTTGTTTCTAATTTCTAAAATTTTTTTGTCGTCAATGTACTATGTTAAGATCTTAAATAAATCTAATATGGAAATGACATTATTTAGAAGTAAAAATGTATTTTTCATTGCCCATACCCTTTTTTATTAAAAAACATCTAATTGTAATGATATTAGAATTTAGAATCATTTAGAATATGTTGACTTAAAATCTGAAATATCTAAAGTATCTGCACATTTAAAATATTTTCTCGCAAAAGAATTGAGTCTTTGCCACAAATTCTGATTTTCTAATCACTATGTCTTTGGAACCAAATGTTGCATACCTTAGATATTTCAAACTATGAATTCTGTTAGATCGCATAAATAAATAAATAAATAAATAAATATCAAAGGTTTACAATATCTAATTCTAAAGATATTGTGGTTAAAATATTTGATTATGTTCCAAAGACTCAATTCCTTTAAAAGATATTCAATTTATAAATCAACCTTTTTTTAAAAACAAAAACAGCGGGGGTAAATAACCCCAAAAACCCCCCTTATTTACGCCACTGTCGATAATCGATATTCCCTAATTTAACAAATAAAATGTGGAAACTTAGATTCTAAAAAATATTCAGAAGTTAATTGGTCTTCATAAGATAATTTTTGTTTTCAGTGATTTATTTAGTAAGTTATGAAAGTGAGATTTGTTTTGAATTGTGAATTATACTCAAAACAAGGAAAGTGGGGTTTGTCTCGAAAACGCGAAAATGTTTCCAATTCAGGATATGTTCGAAAATGGAAAACCTGACATTGTCTTGAAAACGGTCAGAGATTTAATTAAAAAAGAACTCTTATTATAATTTTGATTTTAATTATAATAACTTATCGATCTAATATTTTTTCCATTTGCTGACCTTGAAAAATTGGGCAATGAACATGCATTTCAACCCTATACCTATTCTCTATGGGAGGGGGGGGGGGGGGCGTTGGACGACCCTTTAAGTCTTTATATAGATTCAGACCCCCAGCCTTTATAGGGTTAACCAAGCTTAGAACATTTCCATCGTTCTAATGAGTTTCCCATTCAAAATGTAATTAAATATATGTATATGGGGGGGGGGGATACATGATTCCCCATACTCCATATCCCATCACTTTTCAGGGTAGACCCATGTTTATTTGGATAGCCTTCACATTATACTTATATAATTCAAGAATTCTGTAAGGATTGGATATTATGATTGCGTATCAGTATATTCCATTGTTAAATTGCATGACATCAAACATTTTTGTAGAAAGAAGTGAATAGCATGTGTCTTACATAGCTTCATAGGTCGAATCTTATTTATTTCAAATGGAAGAATTTTGTCTAGTTGCATGTTATTACCAATATCATTCACTCTAACTGTTTCAAAACATTCTATAATTATTTATAAAATAAATTTGCTTACGTAAAAGCATAAAGCACCAAGATGGAGTTAAAATACCTCTTTGGCCCAGTTTTTAATTTTGAAAATTACCTAAATATAGATTCATCAAAACGAACCTGCAAAGGTTTCTGCTGGGACTAAATCGTAAAATTCTGACCCCGATTTTTTTTCCTATAATGAAAGCAGAGAAATCAGCGGAATTTGTTTTGGTATTTATTAAAACTATAAGGAAAAGAAAGGCCTAGAAAGAAATAAAATCCAAGAATATTACACCTTTCAACACTGAAGATTTAAATTTTTATTTAGTAAAAGTTAAATGCATATATTATTGATTAATAATTGCACGTTTACATAATACATTATTGGGTTTTACAACCATTTTCTGTATTTTCAGTAATTTAAATTTTTCAGTGCATTTTCTATTTTTTCTGATCAGATTTTTATATTTTTTATATCATTATCTGTCAGGCATTGAGTTTGGTTTCAGAATGCCTGTGAAGAGTCAGACAATTCACTTTATTGAAGTTATAAACCATGCATGGTGTGTAATATAGTTGTAAACCATGCATAGTATGTAATATAGTTGTAAACCATGCATAGTATGTAATATAGTTGTAAACCATGCATAGTATGTAATATAGTTTCCCACTTCTTCAGTTGTTCTAACTGGACATAAGCGGCACTTCTGGTCTTGGAAATATCCAAAAAACAGGATTATCCATATTTGTCAGGGGTGATGGTTCGGATTCAGATATAGGATTGAGTCCGGGTTCGGATTCAGATTCCTTAGACTGGGGGCCTCTAATAGACCCCTCCTTGGACTGGGGCCTCTCATTGAGCTTTCCTCATGAACCTCTCCTCCGACTGGGATGCTCTCCTGAACCTTTATTCGGACTTAGGGGCTCTCATGGACCTCTCCTTGGACCTTTCAATACTAATGTGTTATGAATTTCTCTGGATATATTGATAATATACAGGAGTTCAAGTACAAGCCTTGAACCCCCCCCCCCCCCCCCCTGGCAAAGATACGATTCAAATAACTGTATTCTGAAAACGTAAATCTTACAATCTATCATTTTCATTTGAAATATCTCTTTTTTCAACTGTATCAAAAATTGTTTACAATTGATTTTTGTGACATGAGATTATTGTTTAAAAACCCTTTAAGAAAACAGAAATGTGGCCAAAGTATTTGTGCAAAATATTTCATGATATTTATCCTTTGTCTATACTGTACAAGTGTGCAAAAATTTAATCATATGGTTAGATTAAATCTCAGATTTTTCACATTAAACTCAGATTAAACTTGACTATAAGAGTATGAAGAGGTAGCATCGATCTACTTAAGAACAGGACATTTTATAGACTGGACATTTCATATACAGGACATTTCATATACAGGACATTTTATAGACAGGACATTTCATATACAGGACATTTCATAGACTGGCATTTTATGGAAAGAAATTTCATAAAGACAGAGTATTTCATATGCATGACATATTAGAGACGAGACATTTCAAAAACAAAGCATTTAATTGATAATTTCATAAACGGGAAATTTTATAAACAGGAAATTTTACAAACATAGAAAGGACATTTCATAGAAAGGATATTTCATAGACAGGACATTACATAGAGGACATTCCGTAGACAGGGCATTTGATAGATAGGACATATCATTGCGACCGGAATTTTCAAGAAAAGGACATTTCATAGACGGAGCATTTTATAGACAGAGCATTTTATAGACAGAACATTTCATAGACAGCACAATATATATACGGACAGTTGACAGACTTCTAAGCATAAATATCTTTCAGGATAATTAAGAAAAAGCAAAAAGTTTTTTAGACCTATTATTTGTTTTATAACAAAGAAAAAGAAAATGAACATGTTTTTAAAACATAATTTTAGAAAAACTAAATAATTTTAATTTTTAATCTAGAGCAATGGGAGCCATAAGTTTAACTCTTATTGGTGTTCTTTTTGTTATAAATTGCTCTGCAGAAGTCAGTGGTAAGATATTTCTCCTAGTCCTAAAAAGATTTTTCATTTATTTAACAATACACTAAACCATTTTTTTTAAATTCTCTTAATGATGTCTATTAGCAATATTTAACCAAAGAATCTAGATCTATTTCCAGAAAATCTGGGTTTAAAAATAATTCCATGGATAATTTTTCGTATTTTCTTTACTATAAGTTTTCTGTTCTAGGGTCAGTCCTAGAGAAGGGTTTTCGGTACCCTCCCTCAGGCCCCTTTCCCCCGTACTATAAATTTTGTACATGACCAATTATTTAACAACTTTTCATCATAATTATTATTGTTTATTTAGTATTATTTCAAGGTTAGGGTGTAAAGTTTATTTGTGGGCCGAGCGCTGCTGCTAAGAGAGGCATGGGGACCGAGCGCAGCGGCTAGTACAGGAATTGGTGCTGCGTGCTACTGCCACAAAACTAACTTTGACCATGTACAAAATTTATAGGAGGGGGGGGGGCTTGGGAGTGGGTCCAAAAATGTTTTTTTAGAAAATTTTCCAGTTTTTTTCATAAAATGAACTTATCTTTTTGTTCCTCATCGAACATTTTTAAACATTTCAAAATAAAAACGAAATATATCTTAGACAATCGAGAATTTTTTGTGAACAACTACTCCTGGAAAAGAAATCCAAGAAATTCTGACAAAAACATAACTCCGATAATTAGATTGATGAACAATAACAATAACAATAACAACTTCAACCCGAAGAAAAATGGAAAAATTGAGACCAAAGAAAAGAATGGAAACAAGAGCTTTGAAATCAAACTAAAAAAAGGGATGAAAATGAAAAAAATACTAAAAATAAAGAATGAAAATAAGAGATTTGTTAACAAAATCACAGAGAAGAGAAACAAAAAGGTTTCAGCCTCAAAGGATTTGGAGACAGCAGAGAAATCAGTACGAGCAATTGACGATCAATGTATAAAGGTCATTGTTTTAAATTCAGGCCTTTTCTCGATAAGAATTTTGTCACTTACTTCTTGATAACTAGGCCTAAAAACTAGTATCGTATACTTTTTAAAATCAACATGCCTTAGACTGCAAAAAGTGAGTAAGTGAGGTAAATTCAAATGCCATAGGGTTGCGACACTTTTAAGCCCACCCAGTCTTAAAAATTGATGCAAGTTTTCTCATAATATCTGTGACACTGACAAAATGCATTATTAGAAGAATTCATGTTGTGGTTTTGGACCAAAAATTATTTTTTCCATCCGTTGACCGGGGGCAGATCTAAGTGTCTGTACTTCTAACCAGAAGCAGTTTTTGTTACATAGTTATCATTTTTAAAGGGACTGTCATTTTATTTCATGTGACCCTCCATGTCTAGATGAGCATGCCTGATTTATAACACTTTAAACCTTTGTTTGATCAATAATGTAGAAGATTTTAGTCATTCCTTCTATCTTATAAATTGTTTAATTCTGAGATAAAAGTCACAAGCATGGATATCTAATTCATGCTTCATCAGACAAAGATTGGTTGGTACCGTTGTAAACCAGACATGCCACTATTTCACTACAGTGTCAATTGAGGTTACGTTTACAGTCACTTTTAGAGAGAGATCATGTTGATATTTTATGGGAAGAAAACAAAATATACATCTTTGAATATTTAATTTTATTTATTTAACTGTTTGTCTGTATTCAGGATCTTGTTGAGCTTGCGGGTATATTTGGTAACCAAGCTAGAAACTTCTATCAGATAGCTACTCGAGCACTCTCTGCCTACTATATGAAGGGAAATAAGTCTGAAAAGAGCGGTGACTTTAAGGATCCCTTGGCTATCCTCGTAGGTAATCTTGGAGGAGATTCTGCTGACCTAAAATGCTCTGGAAAATCTATTAGAAATGATTCAATTACAGGTATAGTTTACTTTTTAGTCAAAAATGTAAGCTCCTAAAGTAGCCTAAAAATGAGATTGAAAAAGGAACCTTCTATCATACTTGGCTTTTAATGCAAATTTTTTCAAAATTCTAACCATTCATAAACCTTGCCTAGTATCGTGAGAAATCCAAAGAAATAAATTTCCACAAACTCAGAATACTTAATCTTATATATATTTGCAACCTGATGGTTTAAACCTTCTATATTTAAAACTTAAAGAAAATTTGATCTATCATAGTTTGAAATATCTAAGGTCAATAATATTGGATTGCAACGTTGAATGAAATAGAAAATCATAGTTTTTGACAAAGAATCAATTCCTTTATTTCTAAACAGAATTTTGAATAAAAGCCAAAGAATCGTTACTTATTTTACTTTTATATGTTGTGTATATGGAGATAGGGTTAAAACTATCTTATACCCAGGAGCGTGTCCATATAAACAGGCGCGTAGTGAAGGTTTAGTCTAGGGGGGTGCACTTTTTTGTGAATTTGAGAAATAATCATAAAATGGACAAATTGTGACATTGTCGATTGATAAGACAAGTAAAAAATCTGAATATATGTGTATGTTTACTATTTAGTAAATTAGAGCCTGCCTCTGGCTCTAGGGGGGGGGGGCTAGGGGGGCATGGCTAGGGGGGGGGGCACAGGAGTACCGGCCCCCCTCTACTACGCGCCTGCATATAAATTCACCAAGTTGCATTATTTTATTCAGATCGTAAATAATTGAATAAAATTTAAAATTGATAGTTCAGATATTACAATCTATAAACATCGAGTTCAATTCGTAGCAAATTCATGTATATAGCGGATATTCTTTAGTTTTTATATACATTATGTACTTTTATGACGATTATTTTACTGCTAGGTGTCTCTGCTCTGAATATTAACTTGAATTTTTACTCCCAAAAGTCGACTTTAACTCGACTTTTAACTTGTAAATAGACGTTGAAGAAGATTTTCAAGTCGGGAAAAAGTCAACTTTTAAGTAAAAAAAAGTTAACTCTTAAGTCTAGTCATTCACGACTTTCAAGTCGACTTTTTCTTGACTTTTTAAGTCGACTTTTATACTGTTGTTTTACATTCCACTCTTTTACCACTTTTATACACACATCTATATTAGCACAACCTAACATATTCATCGTCATCAACATTTATTCATCAATTAAACTCCATTAACCAGGTCATACACGCATCAAAAACAAATACTTGAAAGTTGTTGATCTACGAACCTTAAAGATTCGCCTGAGCTAGACATGTTAGCCTTTTTCTCTCTTCTCCAAATTTCTTGAACTGACGCAAAATTTGTTTTTGTAACCCCCTTGGCAACATTGTGTCCCCCCTTAAAAACCATAAAATCCCCTTTTTTGAAAAAATATTAATACCTTTTTTAACTATGTAAACTATTCGATCATATTCACACTTCCATATTACAAGTGTTAATAAATTATTTACGTAATTTTCCTATGTTCATCTTAAACTCCCTCATGATACTGTGGTGTAAGCTTCAAGGGGTTAAAAATAGAGATAGAAACTTTTCTTAGAAAATATCTATTTTTCATAGGATCGATACATATTGTTGTGAGCCGAACAAAAGGAATAATACTCGAAAGAGGGAAATAAGGCGAATTGGCAAGGAAAACACTCTTTTCTACCGGACACACATAGATGAGAACAACTTCTTGAAAATGTATGTCCGGTAGAAAAGAGTGTTTTCCTTGCCAATTCGCCTCATTTCCCTCTTTCGAGTATTATTCCTTTTGTTCGGCTCACATTTCAATCTACGTGCCGGGTCTGTTCAAAAGTTAAACCCTCGACATGGATCCAACTACTCCACTCCATCAGGACCCCCTGCATGGAGATGCCACCGAGACTCCCCACCAGGAAGCTCAAAGAACCTGCACGCGAACCTCTCCTTGTCAACACCAGGGATGCCTGGTTTGCTGCACACCAACTAACCATGTACGTAACCTGGACGAGGCCCTGACCGACAGCGAAGCCACCCAGGTCTCTCCAACTACTGACGAAGACTGCCCTACTCAACCCCCTCCCAACCATCGCATCCGGATATTCACCACCTGGTTCCTGAATGCAATCAAACAGAAGGACTTCCCCACCATAGAACTCACCAATAAGATGTTCATCACCTACTACGAGTCCGGGTCAGATTTATTGGACTATGACTGCTCCACCCTCTTCGCTGCCCGGCTGACCGCCACAAACATGCTGAGCTCCCACAACGCCATGCTCAACACCCTTACCTCCCCCCCTTGCCCAACAGCTCTACCACCACCCTCACCAACCCTGTTACCAACGCCCACTTCAAGGCCCCTACTATCCCGGCTCCACAGTGGTCTGGAAAGGCCAACGAATTTTACACCTGGCTACATAACCTCTTGAATGGATTCAAGTTAGCTGACTGCGCCGATCAGGTTAAGCTGAAACTGACCCTTGAGGCCATCCCTATGGACAAACAAGGCCTCCTCAACGACATCACAGAGTGGGAGCAGTTCAAGGAGAGGTTAATTGAAGAGTTTGGAAGCATTGACGTCTATGGTAGAGACGTCAACCAGGATTTCGCCCTCCTCACCAGATTTGAATCAGTTCAAGAGTGTGCAGAGATCCTCGCCCCCAAGATCAAGAAACTACAATCCAACCTGAACATTATGCAGGAGTTCTTCGACCTGGAGATCCTCCACAACGTGACCCTCACTCAGCAACTGGTTCACAACATTATGAAGAGTCTGCCTCTGGAAGTGAAGTCGTCTTTCAAAGAGAAGTATGCTGATTTTAGAGATCTCCGCCCTGAGAATGTCAAATCACCGATCACTTTCGAGTTCCTGGCCAAGTTTGTCTACAAGATGGAGAAGAACTATCAAGCAAATCCCAGCCTCTATGACCTCGAATTCTCTCCAGCAAGAGTGGGAGTTAAGGCGACCAGACCAGAGCCACCCAATCACAATCACAATTTACTGACATTGAATTTTAAAAATCTTATCAATTTTTTCCAAATTGATAAGATTTTAAAAATATTGCTTTTCCTAAAATATTTAGGTTTTATTTCTAACATATTGATTCCATCAAAAAATTATCAAAAATGTTACAGGGCTAAAAATAATAATTATAAATGAAAAGTTCTGAACTATTCATGAACAAATAGAACTCAAGTTTTTGACTAGTTTAAAAATGGGATGAAACAGTCGACTTTTATACGACTTTTTACTCCAAGTTTTGGACTTGTTCAAAACTGGGATGAAAAGTTCGACTTCTTTTTCAAGTTTTTGACTAGTTCAAAACTGGGATGAGACAGTCGACTTTTTTACGACTTCTAATTCCAAATTTTTGACTAGTTCAAAACTGGGATGAAAAATGTCGTCTTTTTTGCAACTTTTTGTTCCAAGTTTGAGGACTAGTTATCAAAAGTCGACTTTTATCTGGCTTTTTCTAAACTACTTTTAAACTAGTATTTTATCCCAATTCCCAATTCTGTTCGCTGGGTTGTATTAAAAAATATATTATAAAATATCAACTACATATGAATAGCATATATATATAAATCCCCTCCTGCTCTATCCATAAATTTTAATCTACGTACCTGGCAACTGTTATTTGGTGGAAGTTTGAAACATCTCAAACATAGTTTGATATCTAGATACAGCAAATGTACTGGCTGATTGTGAACAGAAAATACAGGATGCTTGCAATGCATCAATCTCTGATGAAGAGGTTGCCCAAATATCTGACTGTCAGACAGCTGCAGACCAATTCAGGTGGGATTTAAAATTTTTTTGTTTGTATTCTGAAATTTTATGTTTTTAATTTTAAGGACCAGATATGCATCCCTCATGAAAGTAGGTCAAGTTGCTTTACAGGTATTTACAAAGATATTGAAAATGAATATGATGCAAGGTATAAAAATATTCATCTTGCTAAGTTTATCATTAATAGTATCAAAATATTTGTCTTGAAATACTGAATTAAGAAAAATTGAATATTAAAAGCCTATAAAAAATTTAACAATTTAAAAAATCCAAATATCTATCATTTGTTGTATGTAGATTTCTATTAAACGATTGGACCCCCCCCCAAAAAAAAAAAAAAAATTGTATATGTATAATAAATGTAAAGAGTTTAAAAAAGTACCCTAGCCTCCCTTCACCTCAGCTTGGAACTAGGTTTTTAAAAAACAAAAACAGCTGAGGTTTTTACAGATTCTGTATAGTAGACCACACCCATGCAATTATGCATGTACAATCCTTGTCGAGCCCTTTTTGTAGAAAAATCCATTTTTTATGTGTTGTGGTTTTTAAGACTGAAAAAAAGGCGTTCGACTCAAAAGTTTTCATGAGATTATTATGCAATCCAAAATGTTCAGAGCTTTTCTGCTTAACTATTATCATCATATAATAAATTTATCAAATCGGAATAAAATAACCATATAAACAAGATTTCTAGGGTTTTAGATGAATACATATAAAAGATGAATATTTCATTTTTTTCGCAGATTTGTAATTCAACAAAAGATACAAGACTTGTCAGCCTGAAGGAGCAAGTTAGAAATTGTTCATTCTTGACAAACAGAACAAGTGGGGCTCAAACTCAGATTTCAGAAAGAAATGCGTGCAATAAAGGTAAAATATTGCTTACTCAGGACTAGAACTTGTTAAAGCCAAATTTCATTGAAAAAGCTGCAAACTCAAAGGTACTGTTAAAGTAAAAAGAAATGGGGTTATAGGCAAAAGCCTAAAAATTTTAGGAGTTGATCGAAACTAATATTAGTTCTATTTGATGTTCCTGTCTCGAGAAATTGATATAAAACTGTGTCAGAGTTATATTTCATGTGCTATTTGAATCAAAGTTTTAAACAGATCATTTTCAACAAATAATGAACAAATATGAAAATTAGGATCATCCAGAGCTGAGGTGCCAAAATATTTAAGGTTAAGGTACCCTCCAATTATAGTTTGAACATAATACTTATTCATCGTGAAAGAAATGATTGAAAATATAAGTTTTATGTGACCAGAATTTAAGGTTAAGGTACCCTCCAATTATAGTTTGAATATAATACTTATTCATCGTGAAAGAAATGATTGAAAATATAAGTTTTATGTGACCAGAATTTAAGGTTAAGGTACCCTCCAATTATAGTTTGAACATAATACTTATTCATCGTGAAAGAAATGATTGAAAATATAAGTTTTATGTGACCAGAATTTAAGGTTAAGGTACCCTCCAATTATAGTTTGAATATAATACTTATTCATTTTAAAAGAAATGATTGAAAATATAAGTTTTATGTGACCAGAATTTAAGGTTAAGGTACCCTCCAATTATAGTTTGAATATAATTGTTGACGGAAAACAGCAACACCCTAGACAAATCAGGATAATAGGCCGGTCAGGATTCTGGTGGGGGATGTTTATTATCCCCAGACAATTCTTTCCCGATAGGCCGCACAAATACA